ATCTTTATTTTTGAGAGAGAGACACACACACACACAGAGTGCGAGTGGGGGAGGGGCAGAGACAGAGGGAAACACAGAATCCGAAATAGGCTTCAGGCTCTGAGCTGTCAGCACAAAGCCCCATGCGGGGCTGGAACTCACGAACTGCGAGATCATAACCTGAGCCGAAGTCAGACACTTAACTGACTGAGCCACTCAGGTGCCCCTTTAATTTATTTTTTTAATGTTTGTTTATTTTTGAGAGAGAGAGAGAGAAGAGAGAATGAGCGGGGGAGGGGCAGAGAGAGAGGGAGACACAGAATCTGAAGCAGGCTCCAGGCTCTGAGCTGTCAGCACAGAGCCTGACGTGGGGCTTGAACCCACGAGCCGTGAGATCATGATCTGAGCTGAAGTCAGACGCTTAACTGACTGAAACATCCAGGTGCCTCACATATTTTTATTTCGAAGGAAAAGAATCCCTCCCAAGCAAGCTCAAAGCAAACATAAAAGAAATGTATTTTAAGGCCACAGGTTGCATGTGTAGCCATGGCTGCAAAAAAAGTCCGAGCAAATGAAGATAGCAGTGTTCCCTTTGGGATCACCTAGCTCAGTACTGCTCAAACCAGAGCGTGCATCAGAGTCATCTGGAGGACTTGTTAAAATACAGGTTGCTGGGCTTCTTGCCCAGGGTCTCTGGTTCAGGAGGGCGGGAGTAGGGCCTAAGAATCTGCATTTCTAGCAAGCATCCAGGTGACACTGCTCGTCAAGGACCACAGGGCTTTGAGAAGCGCTGCTGTACCACATGCCTCCGTCTTAACAGACTGGGAAGCTGAATCCTGAGGTAGGACAGCTGCGGATTTTGAAGAACCCAGGGGCTGTGACAGCTGTTTCTTTCACTTCGCTCTGCTGCCCCCAAGTGGCCATTTCAGTATTGCCTGGTGCAGTTGTCTGTGATGAATATATTCCTACAACTTCAGGTGTTAAAACATGGACGGTTCTTTTTTTTTTTTTTTTTTTTTTTTTTTTTTTTTTGGTACAGAGCTCATGTTACAATAGATAATTTTATCACCTTTACTGGAAGCAGTTACTGTATCACTAAACAGGTATATTATAATAAAATAATTGTTAAGGATATCCCAGAAATGTGAAAACATGTATAAAAACAGTTTTCAGTAAAAAGCATAGAACATTGCACTTCCATTCGTATTACAACTATGTGAAAACTACATGCTGTAGTTTACTTATAATGCATATATTTATAAAGGCGTCAGAAATCTTAGACACAAACATGCCCTATTACTTTAATTAATCATAGTTATTTTTATGAGGTAGGATTTTTAGGAGACTTTTACTTTCTTGTTACTGTTGAGAATTATTTTTATGTGGATTACATATTATCATGAAAAACACCATGGATATTTCATGAAAGAAAAACAGACGTGTATGGATGCAGGGTTCAAGGTCACAGAAAGAAAATAGATGCTATGAGAGTGTGGTGGAATTATGGATAAAGTGAACAAAATTTCCTTCTGCCATGTGTTAAGTTTGATTTAATAGCAAATTAATATTTAAATGAAGCACAAAGTGAATTTGCGGCATGTTAAGGTCAAGGCCAGAGGAGGTGGTGTTCTCAGTGGGCGACTCATTGTCTGGCCAGGGCTTGACGACAGGGTGGAGGGGGTGGGAAGGTAGGGTGGTGGTGGTGTTGTGACAACCCCAGGGTGTAGGCAGAGGGAGCCACTGTCCTGCTTGTTATCGAGCCTCATTTCAGCCTGCTTCCCTTCTAGCTCAAAGCCAACCTCCTGGACATTGCCACGGAGAACCAGACCCTCAATGAGACTCTGGGCTCTTTGTCGGATGCGGTTGTGGGCTTGACCCACAGTCAGCTGGAATCCCTCTCTCCCGAGGCTGTGCATGGCGCCATCTCAACTCTCAACCAGGTCTCAGGCTGGGCCAAGAGCCAGGTCATCATCTTGTCTGCCAAATACTTGGCCCATGAGAAGGTCAGTTGGAGCTTTGAACTGTTTTTTTAATGCTCTGAGACCCAAGGGCCAGTGATACACAGGGAGGGTGGCCAATCAGTAAGAAAATAGTGCCGAGGGGGACTTGCTCTGCCATTTACTAGCCGTGGGACACTGGACGATTGGCTTAAATTCTCTTTGCCTCAGTTTCCCTGTTTGTAAGATGGGGATAACAGTAGCACCTCTGCAGCAGGATGGCTGTAAGGATTCTGAGTCCGTACACAGGAAGGGGTTGGAACATGTGACCTTGAGTATGAGCTCAGGGAGTAGCAGTAGCTACTGTTGTGCTGTTTGCAAAGCGTGGGATCCATCCCAGGATTTCCTTGCTTGTTGTTGAGGCTGCGAACACATCCCTCATCTTGAGATGAGAGATAATGCTATTTTATTCATCTTGGGCTGCAGGGAGGGAATTGTCCTCAGAGGAGATTTTGCTTGGGGGGGACAGGATCCTTTAGTCACGCTCTAGATGCTCCTGGGGTGGGAAATGAGTCTTTTTCCTGGGGAAGCTGTCTCTCTGCCCTGCGCTTGGTAGAAGGAGCTCCAGAGACCTGAGCCCCTAAACATTTTGGTGTCCTGCTTTTTCTGTGTCATAGCCATGTCCCAGGATGCAACTAGTTCATGAGGATTGGATCGGGACCAATTCCAAAATGACAACAATTACAAATATTCATTAAGTACTTACTGTGTGCCAGGTTCGGGTCTAAGTGAGTTAGTTGTTTAGTGTTTCCAACGACTCTGTGAAGTCAGGAGTGTGTTATAACCTTCATTTTCCATATCATTCGTGAGAGGCACAGAACATATAAGGGAATTGCCAAGGTCACATAAAGGGACACAGGATGTCTGGCTTCAGAGTCCACTTGCTTAACTCCCATGCTAACTACCTCCAACATGGCACCATGACCGTTGTCCGCCCATTGTTACTTCCTGACTCAAGGCCAAGGCTAGCCCATTCTTCTTGTGCCCTCTAGCCTCATGGCATCTTTAGTTTGACATCTTTGCAGCCCTTCTCTGTTTTGACTAGGGCCACCTGAGTCTATCTGGACAGTTCTCTGTGAATGTGATTTTAGGGAGCTGAGGGAGACTGTCTTGTTCCTCCCAACCCTGGACGAAGTGGCTTGTCTTTTTCCTAGTGTCCATCTCTTCCTACAGAGAGGTCAGGCCACTTACGAAGAAGCCAAGAGCTCGAAAGGTCTTGCTTTCCTTGAGGACAGTAGAGACTATCCATTCTACAGAGCATAACAGGGAAACCATTCAGCTGGCTTTTTTGCAGACCTAAGGAATGAATGTCCCTGTTTGTATAGAAAACCATCTGGCATCTTTACTCTAAAGGAGGGAGAAAAAACAAGCATCGTTTCTGATGGGGCAGACAGCTACAATCCTATTTGTCATAAAATATCAGACCCAGATCCTGAAACATTTCTTTTTTTTTTTTAATTTTTTAAATGTTTATTTATTTTTTGAGAG